AAAAAAAAAAAAAAAAAATTCTCAAATTTTAAGTGTACATTCACTGAAGTTTTTTCTTTTTCTTTTTTTTTTTCGAGTCAGAGTTTCACTTTGTCACTCAGGCCGAAGTGCAGTGGCACACTTATGGCCACCGCAGCCTTGACCTGCTGGACTTAGGCAATCCTTCAACCTCAGCCTTCCAGGCAGCTGGGACTACAGCTGTGGGCCACCACACCCAGCTAATATTTTGATTTATTGTAGAGACAAGGTCTCACCAAGTAGCCTAGGCTGGTCTCCTACTCCTGGGCTCAGGCAGTCCTCTTGCCTCTGTTTTCCAAAGTGCTGGGATTACAGGTGTGAGCCACTGTTCCCGGCTCATTCACTGGACTTTAACAAATGCATAGTTCTATACAAACCCATATCAATATAGAACATTACTATCATCACGAGAAGTTCCCATGTGCTGCTTCCCAGTTAATTTTGATTTCATTGTTCCACCTACTCCTGCCAGGAGCAACCACTATTCTGGCCAAGTGCTGTATGTCATTTATTTTGCATAACCCTATAAGAAAAGTACTCTTTATTTTTTTATTATTTATTGTCATAGATAATGGTGCACGGGGCACACATCTGGTAAGTGGTAGAGACAGCTATGACCCCAGGCCATAGCCTGAACTTTTGAAATCACAAACTAAATCCTCACTCTTAAAAGAGCTTGTGATAAAAAATAGAAAAGATACAACACAGTTCAGTAGCAATAGAGGCCCTGGGGCTCCAGGAAGGTGTCCTTAGTGTAGGATGTGACTGCTTGCTTTTGAGCAGTCAAGAAAGGCTGTGCCTACATAAGAGATTTTTTTATTTGCCTGACAGGAAGAAAATCCTGTTGCTTAGCATTATAGATTTGTTAAGTATGGAGTCTAGTGTAATACAGAGGCAGCAGGTGGTCTCTCCCTAGACGGCTGACTTGAGAGCAGTTGACATTGTGCAAGGTCTGCTGTAACAGCCACAGGTAACGCCTCACTTGTCTTTGGCATGCACACTGTATGGTGAAGAAAAGGATGCAGCCAGCTTATGGACTGCTTTCTTACTGGTTTTTAAAATGTTTTCTTAGTGATCAAATAGACTAAATGATTGCCATATAAATGACCATGAGAATTATCTGTGAAATTAGCAAAAAACCCATCCCAACATGGCAACATGACATGTTTGAGGCAGCTTTAGAGCCTATCCATCATGGAAGCATTTCTCCTGAGTGCAGTTACAGTTAAGTTGTGAATAAATGAGAGGCAAACCTGTCTACTGTGGTTAACCAAAAAATGGCAAATGAGTTTTTAGAAGTTTTGGTTAAAGAAGAAACAAAATGATACGTTAATGATACTGATTTAGGGCAAATTATTCAAAAGGACACCTACCAGTACCTATTTTTGGCCAGGTAAGTGTGCTACGAGGATAACTAGTTGGTCACATGAAAAGCTGAAACAGTCAGAAAGGTGAACATGAAAAGTAAATAAGAATAGAATCATTCAAATACAAAGACAACCAAGTGATTTACAGTGAACAATCATCTGTTTCTTCTGCTATTTTGGGTTACTGTCAACTGACTTATTCCCTTCATAAGCCATTTCCCACCTCGCCCTACTATTTCGTGCCTCTCTAACTCCCTGCATAATTTACAGGCACCTTCTCCCACTCTGCAGTTGCACATACTCTTAAAAAAATAGTATTGTATAAACCATGTCTCCATCTTTACTGGTGAAACTTGGTTTTTATACCAAATGTTCTGTTTGGCGGGTATCTTTAAGTCATTATTGTTTTGAATTACATAATTTATTTTACTACATAGCCCTTAGTCATGTAATCTCCTTCTGTCCTGTGTACTCAATATACTTTCCCATCCATTTGCTTACGCATTCTTTTTCCTAAATAATTTGTTATTAGACTATGTAAAATGAAAGCAAGTTCAAGGGAAACAATGTATATATATATATGCTTTTCATTTATGAAAAAAAACTAGAAACCTCTTGTGTAAGTATATATACACATATATAGTATAATTCCATCTAACTCATATTTGGGCTGATTTAAGTTTCTTTTTGTGAGATAAAACATGGATATTTTCAGAGCTCAGTGACTTCAGGTGATAAATGTTCCTTAATATTACAAGTGGCAAAAGCTCTGCAGTATTACTTCATAAATAAGAAGACATACAGATCAGGAGAAAGGGGAAAGCTGGGTCTCGTTTACGTCCTTCTTTTTATTTCTTCATTACCATTGTTAACTGTATCCTTTGCAAGGTTTCTGCCTGTTCTGGCAATAAATTTCATGGTAGTGTAGAACTGCCCGGTCTCTTTTGTGAGTGAGGTAGGCTGCAGTGAATTTTGAAATGCATAGTTTTCTGGAGCTTTTTTCAATCAGAGTCTACTCTTATCTCCCAAGCTGGAGTGCAGTGGCATGTTCATGGCCCACCACAGCCTCGATCTCCTGGGATCGGGTGATCCTGCTACCTCAGCCTTCCAGCTGGGTCTAAGGCAAACACCACAATGCCTGGCTAATTTTTGTTTTTTTTTGTAGAGACAGGGTCTTGCTGTGTTGTCCAAGCTAGTCTCAAACTCCTGGGCTCAAGCAATTCTCTCATCTCAGCCTCAAAGTTTTGGGATTACAGACATAAGCCACCATACCTGCCCTTAAAAGTATTTTTTAATAGTTCTTTTTTTCTTAGGATCTGGTAACCTTTATGTAAGAGAGAAAAATTAATATTCACTCCTACATGCTTCTACAAATAATACAGTTGTTTATTATAGCAAAGATCTGTGGAATTATGCTGAACAGAATGTGTAACCAATTTTCTTTAGCCTCCTTTTGGCATGGTTATGGGTTGCGTAATAAAATAAATTATTGCCATTGAAAACAACCATGGCTTTCATATTTAAAGATTTTCTAAATTTACACTGTCCAATACAGTAGGCTATTTAAATGTAAATTGATTACAAAAAGTTTTTTTTTAGTCGGAGGCTCACTCTGTTACCAGGGCTGGAGTGTAGTGGTCCAGCCACCACTTACCACAGCCTTGACCTCCTGGGCTCAGGTGATCCTTCCACCTCAGCCTTCGGAGCAGATGGCGCTACAGGTGTGTGCCACCACCCCTGGCTAACTTTTTGTAGAGACAGTTTCTCACTATGTTGCCCAGGCTGGTCTCAAACTCCTGGGCTCAAGCAATCCTCCTGCCTCAGTCTCCCAAAGTGTTGGGATTGAAAGTGTGAGTCACTATAGCTGGCCTAAATTTATTTAAATTTTTTAAAAATAAAAAATTCATTTCTTCCATGGCATTTGATGGCACTGTTGTAGATAATTGTTTCCCAATATATGGTTCTAATCAAAATCACTTGAGAATTTAGTTTTATGGTAAATGTAAATTA